TGATTGAGTTCACTGTTACATAATAATGGTAATATGAAAACATTATTAGTGACATATTTTTTTGAATAAATTATGAGTTTATAGCCAAATATTTGGTGGTTCTATTGAGAAGGACTTGACAAATTCATAGCCTATTAATTGTGAGGATGAGTTAAACACTCTTAATGGTTCAAACCTTCTGTGGGAGGGGGTTGCTATTGAGAAACACCTAATAAAGAATCACATATGTGAGTGTGAAGGTTGACCACCTTCTATGAAAGACTTGGGATGTCTTTCTAGAGCACTCATGAGACCAAGGTATGTGCATGGTCATAAAAGCGCAATGGTAGTATCGCGGAGTTTGCACAAATTAAGGATACTATACGTGTTGTGGGTGGTTTCTCGACCTAAACCTATGTGAGTTCAAGATGAAATTCACTCATCTAGGCAGAAGTCGTTGCCTCACATCACTACGTGTCAATTCAAATCAAAAGATATTGGCACTGAAGTATTCATTCCTTCCTTTGCTCAGAAATTTTTCCTTTCTTTTAATAAAAAGAGCCATTTGTGTGGGATTGCTGGGAGAATGACTCTTATTGTTCTAACTGTCCAGCCCAAATCACTTTCTATTCAAGGGCATGTTTTCTTTCTAGGTCCAAGTACATCTCTTTTCATATTTGGAAGAAGTGGCAGACCCGGTCACTCCAGTTATTCTCCTCTTCCGATTTTAATTCCACGTACAAGGTAGTGGAGAACTGATTCCGTTAAATGCTCTAGGATATGTGAAAGGTGCATCCCTTTGATCACGTAAAAAATCTCATAACTTCATCTCCTATTTTTCTGGCCAGAGCAGTTAAAAATACTTCTATAAATTGGAAGATGATTCCCTGAAACAATATACTCATCTCCTTTCTCTTCTCAAAGTTTTTTCTTTTTGAGCAATTGTATTGTGCCAACTCCATCCTTTCAACCATGTGTGCTCTTGTTTGAAAGTAGTTGTGTAAACCTTGGGGAACGAACCGGCAATATACGATTAGCACCGGAGTCGTGCCGAATTTCGTTTTCAAGACATTGGTCTCCACGACACAGCTTGAATCCTTCTCTATCGATAAATTTCCTGTTGTTTTTTCTCTTCTTTTGCTATTAATAGTTGCTGCTATTTTTCCAACATATAGTCTATACTATGTATAAGTTAATTTAATTCTTTATGTTTCAATTGGTATCTTTTATGGTATCAACTTGTTTCTTGATCAACATAAATTTGTTTTATTATATTTTCTAATTTTTAAATACCGATTGGTAGTCATTTGTTAGTTGATATATGTCCAATCAATCTCATAAATCGTTTTTTGCAATAATAATATAAGATGCAACTATATGTACTTCTCATGGAGATCAGGTCAGTACGTAGTTATTTGATGAACCGATAAGACCAAGTGCACTTTCCAAAAACACCTTTTGAGACGACCTTATGCCGGATCAATTAACGTCCAAATCCCATTATTAATACTTCTCAAGAGTTACTATTCAATCATGCATCTAAATAAATCCTTCAAATCTTGAATGTATAATTTTGACAATGAACAGAAACTTCTTCCGTCCTTGTAGCGTTGAATTTTTCCACGAAAATGACATAAATGTGTGCCTTTATTGATCACAAATGAATGGATTTGATCAAATTCTCATAAAAAATGGTGGCAAAGTTTAAATACGCAGAGTATGAAACTTTATTTAGTTTGCAACAGTTTAGCTAGGATTTAAAGTGTATCGTATGTCTTTACATAACTTCTTATTTTTATATTACTTGAGAGTTGTGGCTGATTTTTTATAGGTTTAATGCACCAAATCCCCCTGTGATATGGAAATTCGTCGCATTAGCCTCCCGTGATTTAAAAAATGCGTCAACTCCCTTGTGTTTTAATGAATTATGCGCAAAATCTCTTCTATGAACAAATTCAATTGTCAAATATAAGAAAAATGATTAACATTTTTGTATGATTTAGAGATTTTGACATATTTACTTGCATATTCAATCATAATATTAGGAAAAGTGATCTCAAAATCATTAAATTTAGTCATAAAAGGGGTTCTGTGCATGATTAATTAAATCACGATTTTTTATACTAAAAATGTTGAGAAAAAGTATAGCTCCATCTAATCTGGTGGGCATAACTCAATTGGTACATAGAGGGTGCCACAAAGGGTAAGTCTCGAGTTCGAATCCCCACAACTGCGATGAGATGTTACTATGTATAAATGCATATGACGCGGATCTGCAAGTACACCTGGGTCAGAGCATCACTCAGTATCTGTCAACTTGCGATTAAAATCGAATTTACTTTGCAAGCCCTTAGGGATGAGGTGTGTACATCCTTTTTTTCATATTAGTATAAAATTAAAGAAAAGTAAATACACAAAACAACACTTACATATCTAAATACACACTAATGTCATTCCTAGCCCCTAAAACTTGGCTAGATTCTATACGTAGCTATAACACTCCTCTTTTGAAACTTTGCAAGGGCACTTGTCAAATAGAGCGTTTTTAGATGCCTTTAAAATTGGACGTACCCGTGCGCCATTATTTTATAAATAAATTAAATAAAGGCAATTTGAATTGAGGTGTCCAGAAATAATCATATGATGTTGAATGAAATAATAAATAATAAAAATGTGGTGCTTAGAGAATATGTAGATGATCCACTCCCTTGTCGGTGTTGGGTGCCGGAGCAGTCGCATTCATCGAATTTTTGTTTTATAATAACTCGAAAGAGAATAATCAGACGGAATTCATGTCAACTGCATACCATTTCAAGAAGAACATCAATGCCACATTTCTGCCTTTCTAAAACTAGCCTTCTTTTGCGTGGTCCAGTCTTGGATGAAAATCCAAGGAAATGGGCTTGCTTCACACACCAATAGTACTATAAATCAATTGATCTTGAAGTTGTCGATTTATTATCTTGGTTGAGGTAAACCTAGATAATGAATCTCGATCTTTTGAATTATTATTATTATTCTAAATGTGTTTTTAATGAGATCAGATCAGACTAGACTCAATTTTACATGACCAGGCGAGATCATATCAAATCATATCAGACATCGTTCATACCAAACTAGATTTAAATAGACATGATCAAAACAGATCAAAGTAGACCAACCCAGAAAACGACAGTCTAATAAAATCCCAAACAAAATTATGTTTTCTAGTTTAACTTAATATAACCCAAACAAATTTAAATCATATTCTTCATTTAGATAGTTTACTCAAGTGATTTTTTTCTTGCATCAGGTCTTTTTAATGTTTATTATTAGATGAAAAGGAATCTGCACGTAGCATGAAAGTTAAAGAAATAACATGATATTGTTATTATTGGAATATGATATTCGGATTCTCTAAATATCATTTTTAAGAGAGGAAGCCAAACTAGATGGTATTTTAAATACTTTAAGAATTGAAAATGATTAAATATGTCGTTACTACTTAATAGTATAACACTACTAGTGAGTAGTGACCCAACAATCCTCAATGACACCACTCCATATGCCATTGTCACTTACAGAGAAAGAAAGAGGTGATTGATTCCTAAGTTTTTGTCGGTCCTGGAATCGAATACATGTTGATTAATGGTAAAACATGATGCTTTTTTTAAAAATGGGATGCATTCGTTTAGTGGCTGGACGGGCTGCGGCATTATTGGTGCAAGTAGAAAGTTCTTTCTAAAGATAATTTCTCCCCCTTTCTCATTTGAGCATAATCGATGGACTCGGGCCAGGTCAACCGGCCCAAAACCAGAACGAACCGGCAGTGTTTGGAATCGGCCCGACCCGGTTGCCCGGGGCCCGGGCCTAGGACTCAAACCGGGGGTTTTTGGGCCAGGTCACGGGTTCTTTGGTACCGGCCCGGGCCAATTTTTTTTTATTTTTCAAACTCTTTGGGAGGTAAGTGGGTTGGGCTGAGTGTTTTGGAGCGGTTTGGGGCAGGTTTGGACTCGGGCCGGGTCGGGCCCGGGCCGGCGGTTCTGTATAGCTGGACCCGGGACCGGCCAGGGTAGCCACCGGGTCCGATCAGGGTCCGGGCCGGGCCGGGCCTCGGGTTTGGTTAATTTTTTTTTTTTTGCTTAGCTACCCATCCCTGACCCCCCCCCCTCACCCCCCCCCCCACCCCCCAAACCCCTCCTAAACATCAAGCCCAACCCGGTGGAGCCCAAACAAATGAAAAAAAACCAAAAAAAAAAATTGGCCAGAACCGGGCCCGGCCGGGCCGGGCCTTGTTATGGGTGACCCGAGCCCGGACCGGAAACCCACCGGGTCGGGCCTACCGGGACCAGTCACTGACCGGGCCACCGGTTCGGGCCGGGCCGGAACAGTACCGGTCCCGGGCCGGTTCCGGGTCGGGCCACCCGGCCCGAGTCTAACCCTAGTTTGGGGGATTGGGGTGTATGAAGTAATTAGAAAATAAAAAATAAATAATAATGTACCCAGCCCGACCCGGGCCCGGTAGAATCCCGGGCTGGTTCCAGGCCTTAACCGACAACAAAAAAGCCCGGTTTGGACCGGCCCGGAGCCCAACCCGGAACCTGTCCATGCCTAGCCTAATCTGTATCCATTAATTTATAGTTTTTGCAACGTACGCCTCCTAAATATATGTAGACTTCTTTCGTCAGTTCGTGTCTAAACATTCAAAATCAAAATTACAAAAATATGCAATAAACTAAAAAAAACTATCTGCCGGGATTTTTGAGAGTATCAGTGTATCACCCATGATTAGAATAACAAATTAAACATAAAAAGTGTAATTTTTGGGTCTACTTATTTAAAATTTTATCCTATGCTACTTTGACAATGCTTACGATTCTGAAGATTCTATTTTTTGTTTTGAAATTCAGTATAATAAAATACTCCGCAGTATTACCCATGATTAAAAAAATTAATGTTAACTATGCATGTGTGTTTATCTAAAACTGTAATCATTGATCTGCAATATCTGAGAGTGCAGTCAATATAAACCAAAGGAGAAATAACTCAAAAAAAAAAGTGCCCACATTACCATCTGCAACTAATAAGCATAGCAAACAGAAATCCACAACTACCATCTCCCAATAAGTGCTCCTACAACCATACATATTATTTTCCTACCATCATATATATTCATCAATAGGAGTATAGCTACTATAACATAATCCCAATTCAAAAAGTATAAAGAATAGGGCCGATATGAAATGCCATATATACAAGTTATCTGAAGCCCCGAAGAAATTGATGGCCGCCAAGACATGAAATCACATTACAAACCCCAAATATGTCTCCAAGTAGCTCTCCACGAAAAGTGCTAACACCAAGCAAATGCAGACCAAGAAAAGCTGAATAAACAATCTCACATGAAATTGCAGTGGAGCAATATTCCAAACGAAACCCAAAAATACGAGAAAGCACACTAAAGGGATAACAGTTGGTGGTAGTATGAAACCATTTAGCTGGAGGATAAGCCAATCTTTAAATTTGAATGAGCCTGTTGGTTCCATAAAATAGGCAAACACATAACTCGCAGACAACACGCCAAGAGCAGCTAAGCTATTCTAGTTTTGCGAAGTTTGGGTGGAACACATGGCTGAGCGGGTGCCTAACGTGCAAGAATCAAATCAAGATGTCGTAAGGTGTTGTTAATTTTGATCTTGGCTTTCAAAATAATACCATCTATATAGCCACTACTTACTCTCTGAAATTTATGGAACCAGAAGCACACAAAGCATACCACCTTAACTTCATTGAAGAGCGGAATCCTTGAAATCAACTCATGTAAATTCATTTCACATTGTGTTAGCAGAGTAACAAAAGACCAGTATCCAACCCAAAACCAAAAGTACTTTTTGAAGTCCTCTTTGAAACATTCTGCCAAAGCATAAGCAACTCCAATAATCCAGTAAAGTCCATCAAAAACAACACCTTTCAGCATCTTGGTCCTCGTTTCTTACTTAGTCTTCTCAGCTGCTCCAATCGTTCCAGAATTCTCGAAAAAAAAAATTGCTGGGCGTGCCGCTTGACAGGTTCGTTTTCTCCAAAACAAATCGTAGAAAAGGAGGAGTCCTCCAAAACAATAATTGAGTTTACATATTCATTTATCTCTTTAAGTATATAGTAAACACAAAATTAGCATCACATGACTTAAAATCCAAAACAATGAACCCAAATATCTGAATTATCACACACAAACACGTCACAATCACAGAGCATCCCTGAAAATTTCCTATAATTTTCCACCAATTTATACCCTTCTGTATATTGCAAGCTAAAACCAAACTGAAGAATAATGCAGCATTTTCTCTAATTTCCTTTGTCCATGCCAGCATTTTTTGGATCCAAAGTTCCAAACATAACCTTAATCTTATAATGAATGAACATATCAGAAACCATATGAGACGCTTTTACCCATATCTGATGGTATCTTATTCGACCTAGAGTAGAAATTAATTTAGTGGTAATACCAATGACAGTTGAAATCATAGAGAATCAACTCTGGAGACATTACTATATGCTGTATTTACACCCCTGCAAATCTTTTAAAGTTTTAATACCCCTCTCCTCTAAGCAGTTTTATGATCCAGTAAGGCTTGTCCGTAAGACCTATGCGTGCATAACTGGCTGAGCCCATACCCATAGCCCAACATTATCCAAATGCTTCCCACAAACATATGTCTGCATTAACACAATATTGATCCCAACTGCAACACAGATAAGTACCAATGCAACAAAGAATTAGATAGTGTGGCCATTTAAGGGGTGTTTGGACCCCGGAAAGGGGAAAAAACACGGGGGAATTTATCTTATTGGTTTAACACTAGAAAATGAAAAGTTAAACGATATGTGCTCAATGTTTAAAAAACTTCACTCATGTTTAGATTTGTTAGTCTTTAACTTCAGATAATGGAAATCGGTAAATAAAATGAGCTTAGCTACTATCAAAATTTATTTCTATTAATTATGAACATTTTCCTCACAATTTCTTACCTTCGAAATATTGTTGTATACTTTTCTCTTGTGTTCTTTCTGTAGCAATGTCTGAGCTCCAAACACACCCTAATGGTATAATAGGATGGAGGGTTGTGGAGGGTTTTGGAGAGTATTGGGTGAAGACGGAAAGGCATTGGATGTCGTAATGTATATCTTGATAACTAGAATGTCCATGGAGACGAATAAACGTATATCTTGATAAATAGAATGTACATGAAGACAAATAAGAGATTATTGAAATGTTATATCGTCACATATGATACATTATGTTAAACCTTTCAATTTTTATACTCTCTCAGATATTTATCAAGATATAGACTAAGCGCTGTGCCACTCTCCAAAAACTTCTCCTACAAACCCCTCAAAAAATTATGATATACGTAGCATGTTTAAGGTTTAAACAAAATGAATGATAGCATAACACATTACCATAATTCATAAAAAGATTCAATCAACACAATATCTCCCCCTCGAAACTTTTCATACAAAACTGACCCTTACAAATAAAAAGGGGACCAAACATAACAAGATTAGCAGCAATTTGATCATCATCAAGACACATGACACCTAAGTTCGAAACAGAAGAAACAATCTTACTTTCATCAAATCTGCATGTTCCATTGGTCCTTTTATAAATATAACCTGATTCACGTTAAAACCGCCTGATTTTAGCCATGTAACTGTTAAAGATACAACTATAGATATTATGTCCAATCTCTTGATCTTAACCCTCTATGATTCCATACATACTAATAACTTAATAGGAGGCAGGATGCATGTTCAAAGCAGTTTCACACAAAAGATGAAGCATGTATACTTGGCCTTCTTCCTTTTTTACTTATCAAGAATTAGATATCTTATGATTAATGTTCTAACTGCGGTTAAGGCTTGAAACTAGGTACGGTTCAGGTACCTGTTCCGGATTGGAATTGGGACAGGACGATTCCTGGTCCCTCAAAGACAGTAACGAGAATCACAGCGGTGTTCTACATTACTTGTCTAAGTCTCGGTCCTGGGCAGTTCCTAATTGCATTTTGGAGTAAAGAAGGGGAGGAGTGGGGGGGAAAACTAGAACAGAACAGTTCATCCTATTTTGGAAGAACTGAAAATAGACTGGCATAAAACCGGGTTCCTGTTCTGGAACTGCTCATTGGTTAGGTTTTGGTGCAAATAAATGACCAATACCGGTCTAGTTCAGGTATAAAACCGGAACCGTATCCACCCCTAACTACACCTATATCATGGGAAAATACAAAGGAACAAGAAGCTGAGTGTACATAAGCATCTGTCGCAGCTAATATCCCAAGGATCTGGTTCTCTATCAGTGTGGGCGATCCCCCAGCCAGCCGATCAGTGGATCCTGCATGAGTTGACCCCACATACTCAATCCCATGACTAGCTCAGCATACGGACCTGATGGCATCACTGAAACAATTGTTTATCAAACTAGACAATGCCAATATGAGTCCATACACTTAGTAGCATCAAACTCATCCGTTTCGTAAGAACATAGAAAACATTGAATATTATTCTTAACCTATACGATAGTATTATATTAAAGAAAGCATATTACAAAGGGGTATATAATTAGATTCATCTGAAAGTGTGTTTTCAAAATGAAAACTTTTCATAAATTTGATTGCATATGCAACCCATAAGGCTATATGTAATACACTTATCGATTCTTATAAATAGAGAACATTAAGTTTCTATCTTTGGAAATAATAGAGATATTCAAGTGCTTCTTATAATGATACATGCGCCTGGTGCATAGGACAGAATAAATGATTCGTATTTGATTCAGAAGAAAACACATATATAGCTTAAAAATACGTGATTTTTTACGCCGTTGAAGGAACCAAGAACGCTCAAAAGCGAAACTGGAGAGAAGATTGCTAGTTGGTGGACGGCGGCGGTGTTAAGAAGCTATTGGCGCTTGGCGCGGCCTGAGTTAACCTTAAGGCCCGATAATTAGTGACCGTGCTCCTCCCGTGTAGCGCAGTTCTTCCAGCACTTTATTTTGAACAACTAGAAGAGATGATCGGCGTTGAGTAGGGGGGCTATTCCGCCGTCCGATACGACCTGCCGTTGACTACGGGGCCGTGTAAACGACGCAAGTGAATTCGTTGGTGGACCACAACAGCCCATATCTCATCGTCTTTGGTCTACGCTAGTAAGTTACGGGCCTCGTTCTTGTAATAGTCATGGACCTACCCGTTATATTTTTTCTTAGGTTTAACAGGCCCAATCTTGTAATCCACAACCAACTTATAAGAACTTGGTTGATGAGATTGCCTTTAGCAATTTATATACTACGTAGCACGTACTATATAGAGAAAATTCCACAACTAGGAGTGAAACATACAAAAAGTGCAAAAGTAGGAGTATAAAGTTGCATAGGAGTAAAAAAACAAAGATTGACTAAACTACCCTTAATGAATAACTGATTTCTTTATTAATAATCAATACGAAATACGGAGTATTATCATACCGCAGTAAATCAAAACAATAATACGGAGTACAAATTTTAGAGAGATGTGTCACCCCAAAATAATTACACGACAGCTCACATCACCGGCGATGACGTCGTTGGCCGCCGGCCGCCACCACAATTCAAATCCAGCCGCAACACTTGAAATGTTTTCTCCGACCACCGCATCTGTAATCATTGTCGCCGGCCGGCACATCTGAAATTGTCCGTCGGAGTCCGCCTAATCAGGTGTGGTCGCCACCGGCCGCCTCATTTGGCGGTGCCGCCTTCTCACTTTGCGCCACCTTCTCCTCCGGCGAGATTCCGGCGAGATTGATGTAGATCTTTGTCAAAATTTCATGCTTGCAAAAATACAGAGTTGAGTCACAGTCTTAACATTAATTACTAAAATCTCATTTTTTAGAATGAAAACATGACATTATAACTGATATAAGGGCACTAATTGTCAAAATGGCACCACCCTTGTAATGGCACGAATTGCCAACATATGTTTTTTTTAAGAATGAAAACATGGCATCACAACAGATTTATGGCTTAAAGACTGATATTTCTATCTTGAGTTTCAAATAGAAATTTTTAGATTTAGAAGGATAAAAAATTGATTCAATTATTTTAAACATCTAAATCCGAAAAAAATAAAAAAATAAGATCCAAAATTTTCAGATCTAAAATAGCAATTTTAGGTTTGAATCTCAAAATTAAACAAATGAAACCATGGAACATAGAAGGAATTTTATCAATTCAGGACACGAAAGATAGATTAATTATCAATTCAGGACCCGAAAGATGAAACGTATCAGTATAGGACCCGAATGATGGAAAACTATCAATTTAGGACCTAACGTTTCATAGGTTTTGATTTATTTAATTTTTTATTAATTCCATTACTAATTTTTGATAAACTGTTCTTCACAAAAGTTTATTAGTTTAATAAAATGAAATAATATTTAAATTTTTTTAATAAAAAAATTATGGCAACTTAGGTCCTAGATTAATAGTTTTCAATCATTCAGGTCCTAAATTGATAGTTTTTCATCATTCAGGTCATATATAGATGCATTTTATCTTTCAGGTCCCGAATTGATAATTAATCTATCTTTCAGGTCCTGAATTGATAAAATTCCAAAATAGAAAAAAAAAATCAAGAGAATAAAATAGAGGAACGAGAGTGAGGGAGAAGAAGATGGAGAAGGAGCTTAGGAGGTGAATATCTTACCGAAGAAGACCGCCACAGCACCAGAGTGACGTTGCAGAAGAGAAATTAATCATCGACGAGAACTTGTAGAGTTGTAGATGTGAAGTTGGTTGTCGAAGATGGAGTGTATTTTTTCCGCCTTTGAAATCCATGGGAGAGACCAATTGTAGATGTGAAGATGGGAAAGAAGGAAGATTCAGAGATGAAAGAGAAGTGGCGGTGCAGGAGGCGTGATGAAAGAGAAGTGACGGTGCAGGAGGCGTGCGTGACTGGGATCAGAAAAATGAGGAAATGTAAATTATTAGTGTAGGAAGGGTAAAATTGAAATATAAGCTCCTACATTGGGAATTTAAAACGTACGCTCCTACTTTTGCATTCCCATTATGTTTGACTCCTAAAAAGGGTAATTTCTTTACTATATACCTCTCCAAAATCCAAATGACAAAATAAATACCTCCAAATTCAAACATGACACTCAAATTACAATCATATTTAATATCTGAAATTCTCAAATTATTTAATAATACATTTCACCATATTGTGGGAGTGTTTGGATCTGATTCTTAAAGCTTCTTCTGCTCCTTCAGGGAGCAGAAACATAAGTTGGAGTGTTTGGGTGAAAGTGTAAAAGTACTTATGGTGCTCTAATTTACTCCTAGAAGCAGTTTTTTCGAAGCTGAGGGAGACTTGCTTCTGAAAATTGATTCTAATTATGTTTCTGCTTTAAAAAAAGAAGCAAAAGCAGAATCAGTTCCAAACACCCCCTATAACTCTCATATGTGTTTCTTTTTATTATAGTAAATTCGTGAGAGAATATTGCAGTGGTGTAAACCTCATGTCGATCACGATCCATACATAGTACATAGTAGTACACCGTTTTAGTTCTCCTCTTTTGCATTCAATTGTTCTTGTACATTCCAAATTTTCACTTATATACATGTGTTGGATGTCTTTTTAGATTAAAATTCTTTTTGTTTTTATTGTTCTTGTGCGTATTCTTTTGGCTTTTGCTATTCCAAAAACATAATCAAATTCAAATTTCCATTTTCAGGTTTACCGTCACTTAATTAATCACTCACATCAAAATTAGATGTTACTCTGGTAGAGATCGAAAATTGAACTGTGTCATTATAAAGGGTACAATGAAACTTACGTAAGAAATTAATTATTACTCTAAATTAGTGTTCATTTTTACTTGGTGTGTAAACATTGGAATGTTAAAATCATGTCACGATATATATTATACTCCCTCTGTCTCAATGTTATCTCATTTTTTATTTTGCAAAGGGATTAATAATGTGAGAAATGTGTGATCTAAAGTTGTGCAGCTGAAAACTTGATACGATGGGTTAGTTTTCCGCTGTTTGAGTGCGGTTCAATATTGTAGACAATAAGCAGTGTTCACCATGGCGGCGGTTGGCTCCATAGCACATGACAACAGGGTGCATCAGGATGAGGAAGTCGTTGGCGCAACGCATGAAGACAGTGGACAATTGGAGAAGCTAATCAGCCAGTATGACAGTCTGGGTTTAGGTCTAGAATCGGATGAATTGTTGTTGGAAGATGGCAAGCAGATTGGCTCCAATGCGACGGAAAGGGGGCGACTTCGTTCCCACTATTCGGCACGTAACTCACGGACAAAGTGGTGAAGTTTCAAATTTTCAGAGATCTTATGGCACTTCTATGGGATCCTGGTAAAGGCGTTTCAATTAAAAAGATTGGAGAAAAAAAGTATTTGTTTAAATTTTATCATATAGTTGATGTGACTTGTGTTGGACAATGGACCCTGACTGTTTAATCGGAATCTATTGGTGTTAAGGGCCATTAAAACAGGGGATATTCCTCTTAAGGTCCATCTAGACTCGGCTGAGTTTTGGGTACAGGTGCACAATGTTTTGTATGTCTTTTCTAATTTAGGTACTGCCAGGAGAATTGGGAACTATCTGTGAAATTTATCACCTGGGATCATAACCAATTTGATGAGAAATGGGATGCCTAAATGAGGGTCAGGGTGTGTTTGGATGTGGAAATCCCTTAAAGGTAGGAACAACCTTAAAGAAAACCAAAGGGGAAGGGTAATGGGTGAACTTTAAGTATGAAACACTCCTTAGTTTCTGTTTTGTCTGTGGAATTATAGGACACGCTGAAAGATTTTGCCCTCTAATGTATGAGAAAAAGGAAAAGTTCCTTATTAAATCTTTTGGACCATGGGTACGCGCGGGAGGAGGGAAGACTCATCCTTAATTGGGGAACAAGTGGCTTGTGAATGAAGGGATCTCAAGAAGGGGCCCCCAAAGCCGGTAAGAAATAATCAAAAAGAGCATGAGCAGTGTCACAGCCACACGGAAGATGAGACCCAGGGATGGTTGGGGTTAGCTAACAATGATGGAGTAGGGCAGAATAAAGGTGGACCAGGAGATCATAACAGAGGACGCACAAGAGCAGGAGGGTTCAGAGGGGGATGGCATGACTCTTGACGAGGCAAAAAAAGGGCAGGGGTGGGTTGGAGCATCCAGGTCCGCTTAAATCGATGAAGATCTGGTGCTTTTTGCTGATTGAAGAACATTTTAATTTTAGTCTTGCTATTTTTATTTATGGTTTTTTGTTCGAACTACATGTGGTTTTGTTTGTATTGGTATTTACTTACGTTAGAACACTAGAATTCAAAATAGGTGATGGGGAGTATAGTTTACCAGTCATTGGCTCGGGTAAGCTCAATTCAAGATCAGCGAATCTGATTGCCTCTTTGGAGGTGACAGGTTTTGAGTCTGGTTCAAGGGCGTACAATAGAAAGTGGGCTCTTTGTTTGTTTGTATCCTGCTTACGTTCTGTTATTTTAATATAAGTCACATTCTTCCAAACAAAAAACAGGTTGTGCAGATGAAAGAGAGAAAGTGGTGACGGATGCAGTGAACCACAAATTCTTTGCTTAAAAGGGAAAGAGAAATTTATATTGGGACAAATGAAAAAGGAAAGAGTGAAGATAATATTGAGATGGAGGGAGTAATTAGTATCTTAATGTTTATACGATTTTGGGGAAAATATAAAGTCTGACCTTACCCATCAGGTCATTTTGCACACAAACATGAAACATGAGATCAAGTACGTATAAACTACGTTTAAGTTATTTCATTTTGTCATTCATTTCCTTTAATTTCTTTAACAAAGATTCAGTGTAATAGAAAAAAATAGATTGTGTCAAAACCTAGTCAAGTGAATTTGGCATGAATGGAGTGAGTTTTATGTGCCTTAGATTTATGTGATTTAGTCCAAATGATTGAATGAATAAGAGATTAGAAGAGTTGTTGGACAAAATCAATTTGGAACTATTGTCTATAAAGAGTGCCTTGTTTATAGACTTCCAAATTAAAGATCATCTAGTGATATAATTTAGCAATTTTGACATCCATCGAATCGTTTATCATTTTTATCTGTGGCACGAATCATTTGGTGGATAGAGTATGTCAA